AGGAGAGGATCACGAACCCTAGAATTAATAAGGAGGAAATTAAATTTAGAGCAGAAGTTGTCGTCGGCACTTGGCGGCGAAGGAGACTGCTTATATCAACACGTGCCGAGTTGAAATTCCCATGTAACTCGATCTTCGATCAAGATAAAAGGAGGGGAAATTACGGAAGTAGAGTTGGTGCAATGGCAGAGAGATGGGGGAAGGAGGGGTAGAGTTGTAAACTCGATTGACACGTCAGACAAAATGGGAATATACGTGGGAAAACGATGGATTGCGTAAACAAAAAAAGACGGCGACGGCGACGGCGAGTGGATGGTTTTTGAAGGATACGTGGCAGACAACCGAGAGGAAGCTTAGTTGTTAGGTATGGCCATGGGTGTTGCCTTTTTTACGTAATCGGCTGACACGACATGGCTGTTCCATGAGTAATAATATAATGTCCCACTTCAACCTTTTTATATTCTAAGAAAATTAAATAAATAAATAAATGAGGGTAAAGTATTAAAGATATATATAAATAGTACAATTTTATACTAATTAACGTGTATTATTTTTCTCCAACGTGGAATTTCAGGTCTTTATAATATATATATATATTTTTTAAATAACATTTATCGAACAAGATTCAAACATATCCATTTTAACTTCATAAACTTTATTTGATCGAGAATTTAATATCTTAAATATGGAGATTTAAGTGAACACTTGTCAATTTGTAACGCTCCACTCACCAAAGAGCTTGATTTAATAGTTGCTAGCGGTTACGGACACATTATATTTTTACATAAAAGTCAGTTAACAAAAAAAAATATATATATATAATATTTACAATAAAGTCATGTGCATAGTTTCAAAATATGATAAAGTAAATAACACAAACGGTGAGATCTCACATTGGTTAAAGAGTAGAACGAAACATTCATCATAAGTACGTTTATAAGAGTGTGGAAACCTCTCCTTAGTAGACACGGTTTAAAATCGAGAGGTTGATGGTTATACGTAACGAGTCAAAACAGACAATATCTGCTAGCGATGGATTTGAGCTATTACACAAACAAACTCGGTCTAGGTAGGATCTCTGATGTCTCCAACTCGGAACAGATGCAACTTTTACGAGATTAAAAAACAAGTTTAAGCACAACAAATGCTAGTATATAAACTAAAAACAATCATATCCCTTAATGTGAATGTCTTCAAAGGGACGCAAACACAAGATGGGGCTGGACTTGAGCACAAGAAGGTGACAACACCTCACAACTTTAGCCTAAAACAGAAGCTTCCACTTTGAGTCAAAAAGAATGGTTTAAGCATGGCCAACTTGCCTATCCATCCCATAATTGACAAATGAGATAGCTCAACCACCACATCAGTTTAGTATCATTTTATATTAACCCATCTCTATCTATCTACATAATAGGCTCATCTGGATATACATTACTTCCTATATTATCTTCTTACACTTCATGGATTAAATTCCTTTTCATATAAGAAATGGATGCATCTAATGAGTAAAAAGCATTGAACACACATGAACAAAAGCTAGAGAGATCAGAATAACTACAGTAAGATAATGACTTCATCTGTTCTCTTGGAGTGATGATTTTGATTCTTCTTTGAGGAAGTAGATGAAAGAAGAAATCAAATTTGTTTATTGTATAAGTAGAAATTAGATATGATTACTTTGTTTATGAGATGAAACAGAGCAAACAGGGCAGACTTCCCAGATCCTCATAATTTATAGAAGAAATAAAGCTCCATCTTTGTAGCCTATCAAGTTAGCAAAAAGAAAGAGAGGAAGGGAATTAAAAGAACGCGTACCATTATCAACTGATGAAATAAATTAGAGATAATATCTTTAAGCAATCGAATTTTTCCATTTGGTGAGTTCTGGAAAGTTGAAAATCGTTTGATTACACATGAAGTGAGTAGAGGCAGGTGTAGTGGGGCGGGGTGATGGCCTCTACTTGGCCTGCCTATTCACCTTCAGGTACGGCAAAGCACCAATCACATTATCGTAGTCACTCCGGCTCACTGGGTGCTGTGTTAAGACGGAAGCCAATCAAAGAAAACACTCGGTAACATAACCAGATATACAAATGCGGAGAACTAGCCAATTTTCCTTGCACTACAAGAGCAACTCACCACACTTTTTTGGTATTATAAAAGGCACTTTGTTCATATAACAAAATCTTAGGCATGAATATTGTTGGTAAAAGAGTTCATTAACCATAAGATCTATATGCCCACAGGGGAAATCAGAGGACTCGACCAGTTGGTAACAATCTAGATCGAATCAAATTTGAACAAAAGGCTAAAGGAACTGCCTTTGTTGCTCTCAGACGCAACCAATAAATCAATAAAAACTAGGCTGTGTACAACATTCTGAAAATTCAAAACCAAAGCTATTTTCTTGTCAAATAACTTGTTGCATAGAGATTGAAAATGGTGGCTGCATTGGCTAAGTTTTGATCCATTTATATAAACCCTCTCCCAGAAAAACTCTCAAGGGTACAAGTTTAGAAATTTCGCATTACAGATACAGAATCATAAAATAAAAACAAGTAAAGATGACATACCATTTTGGAAAGCCGTAATTTCCTCTTTGTGTTCTTCTTGTACAGCAAATGCTGCTTTCCAGCTCTCCTCCGAACGATTTTCCCTCGACCCGTTACTCTGAATCGCTTTGCTGAAGCCTATCCAGTCACACCAAACAATCCAATCAAAAGGAAAAAAAATTACACTACAATACAAAGAAAGAGAAAGAGAATACAAGGTTAGGAATCACTACTATTCACCCTCTACAATTATACGATATTGTCCACTTTGAACATAGTTTTACTTTTAGTTTCCCATAAGGCCTCATATCAGTAGAGATGTATTCCTACTTATAAACTCATGATCAACTCTTTAATTATCCGACGTGAGACTTTTCCCCTAACAATCCTCAACAATTCTCCTCTCGAACGATGTACTTCATAGAGCCTTCCCTGAGACGTATGGAGCTCTTGAACAACCTCCCCTTAATTGAGACTCGACTACTTCTCTAGAGCCCTCGAATAAAAACTTGAGCCACTTTTGACTACAAGTTCGAGGCTCACAACTTCTTTGTTCGACATTTGAGGATTCTATTGACATGGCTAAGTTAAGGGCGTGACTCTGATACCATGTTAGGAATCATGACCCTCCACAATGGTATGATATTGTCCACTTTGAATATACATTCTCATACTTTACTTTTGGTTTACCCGTCATGCTTCCATATTAATAGAGATGTATTTCTTACTTATAAATCCATGATCCACCCGTTAATTAGTCGAGGTAGGACTCTTCTCCCAACCATTCTCAACAAAAATAATAATGACACTAGCCCCTTCAGTAAGTGTCTAGAATTGGTACTTAAAATTCAATCTGCCGTTCTCGAATCATAATACAAATTCGATTAAAACAAAAAATAAACATATCCGACTATCTAGAAGACTGGAATTAACTTCAATTAATCAGAATCCAACCAGAATTGAACCATACAAAAATATCCCAAAAATACACAGAGAATTGAGGGAAATAGAGACCTTGTGGGTTTTCATTTTGTACCCTTTGGCAGCGACAACAGTGAAGGGAGTATGAATTCGAGAACTCGGAGCAATGTGAAATGGCTTCTGAAGTAAAGCGACTCCAAAGCTGGAAACGTTGTGGGAAGAACTAAGCCTCAACGAGTACGCCTTGTTCGACGACGGAAGCCGGACGGAAATACGAGAGACGCGAACTGATGAGCGAGAGCACAGTGGGGAAAACCTAAGACCAAAGGACACCGACGCCGAAGCAGATGCCATGGCTCCTGATACTTGGAAGCGTCTCGTCTTTCTTCTTCTTGCCAATCTATACGAACCTCAAACTCGGCCTGCTGTGCGGATAAAGTGAATAGCTTTTATTTCATTTATCGATTTCTTAATTTTGAAAAAATAAAAATATTTATAGGGCCAAAATGGGACATGCACATTGGCCATCCTCATATTTATTATATGTTACAATTTTTCATTTTAAATTAAAAAAAAATTATACTTTAACATAGTTTTTAATATAATCAAATTAAATATATGATTTAGAAAAATGTTAATTTTTACAGATATTTTTTTATGACCAGAAGAGAAGCTGCCCTGAGCTGGTTGGATATCAAGCTTCATAATCTCAATGTCCTTTCAATCACTGGTTTTTATTAGTTTATTTCTACCGTTAATCAATGAGCCAATATATTAAGATACTGATTTTAATTCCTTCTTTTTTTATTAATATACCATTTTTATTTGGTGGTGAAGAATTTGAGCTCGGCTAAAAAAAATAGTGATTGATCTAAAAGTTGTGTAGTCGCTGAGATAAATGGATGATAAATTGAACTCAAGACCGATGAAAAATATAAAAATGACAAACAAATATCAGCGATCAGTTCAAGAAGGATAACACTTTATTGAAGATTCAATAAAATATACTCCATTTGAAGAAATATATGGTGCAAATAAGTTTTGTTTATACCAAAATTTTGGATTATGAATTTAGTTTAGAGGTAGTTTTTTTTTTACACAAAATACAAAATATTTTTATTGATTTAGCAAATTTTAATATATATATACTATCTTATCGGACAAGATTTATGCAAGTTGACCCAAATTGTTATGAATATAATTAGTATGATATGGAAATATTAATCATTTTATATATGGCTATAAATAAAATTGGATGTAAAATTATGAAATATTAAATGTAGACTAGCAATCAAATTAGTAAAAGTGAAATTATTCCGTCATTTGGTGGGGAAGAAAACAATATAAAATCCCGTTGTTTGGAAGAGCGGTGGAAAGTGATAGCGGAAGAGGGAAGCTTCCAGGCAATGAAACCGATGAAAGACGGCACAAATGGAGAAAGAACAACCGTCATGGCCGGCTCCAATTTTACCATGAACACTTCTAAAATGGAAGGTTAAAGACAAGGTAGAAGAAGCCATCCACTAAAAAACCGATTGATGAAGCATTAGCAAAATAAGAAGAAAAGGATAAGGTCCATGGCCGGTTACCTTACAGCTAGCTCTATATTCAATTGAACGCCAGCCCTAACTCCACTCATCATCGCCTCCGATCTCGAGATTATATAACCTATTTCCTTCCTTCATAACTTTTATCGTCAATTTTAAACTTCTTGGAAATTTCACAATGGCGAAATCCACATCGCAACAACTTCAGATTAGAGAATCGAACAACAATGTAAATAAAAATATTGTAATGAAGACCAAAACAAAGCGAACTCGGAGGAGCGTACCGAGAGATTCGCCTCCTCAACGAAGCTCCATTTACCGCGGCGTTACTAGGTTTTATTCATCGCCCTTGCTTGCTTCTCTACAAGCTTCTTCTTCTTCTTCGTCTCTCTCTGTCTCTGTCGACTGATTCTGACTTCGATTGCGCTTCTGTAAACCCTAGGCATCGATGGACGGGCAGATATGAGGCTCATCTGTGGGATAAGAATTGCTGGAATGAATCGCAGAACAAGAAAGGAAGACAAGGTAATTGTATATTTTTTAAAAAAATTAAATTACAAGTAAAAATAAATAACCCGGCTCACTCGGTTTCGTTGTCTCGGCTTGGCATCTCGGCTTGGCGTTCGCTCAGTTTATCTTGGTAAGCTATTTATTTATCGTAATTACAATTAATAAAAGCCATTTAAGTATTTTTTTTTTTTTTTTAGCTATTGAATATATTTATTAATGAGTTTTTTACTGTTTTTTTTGGGGGTAATTTTGGAAAGGTGCATACGATGACGAGGAAGCGGCAGCCCATGCGTACGACCTTGCAGCACTAAAATACTGGGGTCAAGAAACCATTCTTAATTTTCCGGTGATTTTTTTTCTCGGCTACTTAAAAGTAATTATAATAATAATAAATTATATTTATAGTTGAATTTTTATATGTTATTTTGGTAATTTCAGCTATCGACATACCAAAAAGAGCTGAAGGAAATGGAGGGACAGTCGAGGGAAGAATACATTGGGTCGTTGAGAAGGTTTGGATTGCTTATTCCATAAGATTATTAAGAAAATAATATTATTTTGAGTCAGACCTCCGAAAAAAATCTTATACTAATGTCGCTAATTAACTGTAATCATTCAACTTTCAGAAAAAGTAGTGGGTTTTCTCGTGGGGTTTCCAAATACAGAGGCGTTGCCAGGTGATTCATTTCTATAATTACATTTAAAGTATACGAAATATAATTAAGCTTTATTTTATTATTATTATTATTATTTTTTTTTTAATAATTTAGCTTATTTTGAATGTGCAGGCACCATCACAATGGTAGATGGGAAGCTCGAATTGGCAGGGTGTTTGGCAATAAGTATCTCTATCTTGGAACATATGGTGTGCTCTTTCTTCCATTTTTCTTTTCTAATGAAACCAATGTAATAACGCTACAAATATTTTTAATTAATTAGAGATTATTTGTTTTTTAAAAGAAAATTAATATTTTTTTATATGTACATTATACACATTTAAATTTGAATATGGTAGTTTATAAATTATAATATTCATAAAATGCAATGGATGAATTATACTACTAAAAATTCATGCATTATTAATTTGATTTCTATTATTGTAATTTAAAAAAGTACAGGGAATTAAATAATTAGAAACTAATGGGTTCATACCTAAATCTTCGTAGCGACGCAAGAAGAAGCAGCCACGGCGTACGATATCGCAGCCATAGAATACCGTGGACTCAACGCCGTAACCAATTTCGACCTGAGCCGTTACATTAAGTGGCTAAAACCCTGCAACGACGTCGTTTACGCCAGCGACCACACCCTCAACATTGACTCTATCCTCCCAAGCCCTAAACAAGAACTGGACCTAGGGCTCTTCCCGTCGGACCAAAACCAAAGCAGCACCGATTCGGCGACGGCGGAACCAATTGCCTTACCTCCATCCCACAGATCGACCACCACCACGTCAGCTCTCGGCCTCCTGCTCCAATCTTCAAAGTTCAAGGAAATGATGGAGATGAATTCGGCAACGGAGTGCCCGTCGACGCCGTCGTCATCGGAGAAGCTCGAACGGCGACGGTGCTTGTTTCCCGATGATGTTCAGACTTTCTTTGCCTGCGATAGCTCGGGATCTTACTGTTATGGAGAAGCGGATGATGCAATTTTTAGCGACTTCAACTGTTTCGTACCGCCGCCGCCGTCGCATTACGATTTTGACGATTAGAAGAAGGATAGAAGGATCGAGGAGAATAATTAATTAAGCATCTGCAATATTGATTTTAGATTTAGTAAGAGGACCTTTTAACATTTGCTGATTAAAAATAATTCTTTTATTTTGACTAAAGATTCGAATACCCATAAAAATTTAGTTACGAATTTTTAATACATTTTTGCGTTGTTGAAGATTGTTGGGAAGAAATCTAATTAAGGAGATTATAAATAAATAAAAAGGTTTATAGGGGCCTTGGGATGCTGACGTGGCACAAAATTTGTCGGTATCTGCATCAATCAGCAATAGTACTCATTTGGTTGGAACTTGGAACGAGCTGGCAAATTTTAAAAATTCCCGCGTACTCCATTTTTCTCCCCCCCCCGCCCCACCAACATTAGTGATTGTTTGGTGGCAATTTCGTAAATCCACTCAAGCAGTTGGGTCTTAATCGTAATTTCAAGAGGCCTCTCCTCCGTGAATATATATAATTTCAGTTTTCCCGCCCAATTTAGTCTCATCTACTTCCCTCCTCTGCTACTTTTTTTGTTCGCTGATTTTTCCACGAGCAAAATGCCAGACTTGGGTAATCTTTCACTCTCTGCAGCTCTTACGCTCACTCGGTGCCCTAATATCAAACCTGTTATTGATCCTACTGATATTACATCTTCCCTCCTCTGCGACGATTCTGTTAAATCTCTGCCTACTGCTAGTATTTGGGGGCAGGGGTTTCAATGTTCATTTCCCAACGATGATGAGGTCGGCAGAGGTTGTGGGAGTAGGGTTTCGAGCCAGAGCGGAGACGCGTTGGACAGATCTAAAAGGCATTATGGAGGGAAGAATTTGGAAGACCATGTGAAATCTTGGGTTCGTAGAAAGCAAGAGTCCGGCGTTCCCGAGTCTCGTTGTTCATTTCCATTTCTCGAAGGCGCTCGGAAAATGGTTATTTATCTTCCTGTTTTATTTTTGAGTTTTACATGCTACAGTATTGGAGCTGGTAGATTGGTAGTGTTTAGCATGTCTTTCTTTGATGGAGTTTCGTTCTTCTTGTTTCTAGACAAGGAACTTTGTTTTTATTTAAATTCATAAGGGTTGAAGTTCTAGATGACATTTCTGAAGCTGAATCAAATGTTTTCGTGGAAGTATATATTGAAGTAGTTCATACACCTTTGAGAAATGCTTGAGGAAATAATTTGGATGTAGAGCGTAGCACTTTTAGTTTGAGTAGCTTATGATGAAAATTCTTCCCCCACCGATGTTGATTTTAACTGCAAGTTAGTTTCTTTTTCTTTAATTTGTTGTAAGTGGACGTGTAACTGATAATTGAAAAGTAAACACGGCGCTTGAACTTCCTTCTTAAATTTTATGTCAATTAAATTGTTCCTTCTACTGGCTGCTCCAGGTAGAAAAAGAATGTTTGTGTTGCCGGAGATATATATTTCCCGGAGAGGAGGTCGAATGCAGTATTCGTGGCTGTGGAGGAGTTTACCATGCAATATGTGCCAAGGAAAGCTTGGGATTCTCAGGTCACAGGAAGTTCAAGTGCCCTCAACATGTAATCACATTCTATCATCTGTCAAACTACATATTTTCTTTTCGTAGTAAAACACAGACACAAACATCCTCTTTAACCATACAAGGGGCCCTTCTGTCTTCATTACAACACAGCCCTCAATTAGCTTAAGCTGTATATTGACAATTCACTTGCCTTTTTCATTTTCCTCAAAATTTCAATACCTTCTGATAAGATGACCACTAGGATCATCTAATGCACCAGTAGGGGCTTCATTCATCTTAGCTTGAGTCAGTCGATTGCATTTTCTTGAACTTTCCCCTCTTTCCTCTTCTTAAGGAACTAAATCCAAATTTCTTCTAAAACAACTACTCCGTATATTTGTTTTGTCTATTTATTAACTATTATTACCTTTGTTGTTATCATTATTTTTTAGCTGAAGTTTTGTCTTTTGAGATTGAGTTTTTTAGATTTTACATTGAAAAATACTTATATTATCATAATATTTAGAATAATCGAACTCTATTGATTAGAATTAATCTAAACTATAGTTAGCTAAATATTCGTTGAGAAGATACTGATCATTGAAGTAGTCAGTGTGTATTTATGAATATGGTCGAGTTTGGTTGTTTATATGATTGTAGCTTACGAATATGATTTTATCTTTCTCTTGCGGTAGATAAATGGTTCTATAATTTTCGATAATCTTGCTGCATAATATGGCATTGGGACTCGTCTATGATATTTTTATAATTGAATGTAGAATTATTGTGAGTGCACTTCAACACAGTTTTTATCAAATAGTTGTAAACATCAGCTGATATGTGTGTAAATATATGCTTTTTTGGGAAACAGGAATGCTTTATATGCAAACAAAGATTACATTGGAAGTGCATACGCTGCACTATAGCATCGCATGATAAATGTGCACCATGGCCAGATAAAGTGATGCATTTAAATAATCAACCTGGAAAAGCCATCTGCTGGAGGCATCCAACCGACTGGCGAGTGGACTTAAAGGTCAATTTTCTTCTATCCTTTACCTCCAAAATTGTATTTGCTTTTCTCTTTGAAGATGCCATCTCATGCTCAATGTCTTTGGTAAATCTGAACCTTCTGACTTGAGTATGCTATATGATAGTCAGATGTGTGCCCGTATTTGAAATTATAACTTCTCTGTGGTCACTACCAATTGGAAAATGAAATGATCACTTTTTTCTTTTGAATTTAAACTTCTTATACTATAGTAGCCTGCCTATATGGATGTTGCTCTTTACAAAGTGCTTGTAAAATAATGTTGAATAGGTGATTTCTTGTCTTTTGCTGTATTATGCAACTCAATCACGCGTGACTGTTAATTTCTGAAAGTTACGTGCCTATGATGATATTAGCTTTGTGATACCGTACGCCATTCAGGCTTATAATGCCTTTTCGGTTATTCATTTTGAAGATGCCTTGTTTTAATGCTTGTTTATCTGGCTAGTTAATCTTGTCTTTGACCTCTCTCTCTTTTTTTTTCTTGTTGAAGTTTTACTTCTGCATCTGTATCTTTATTCTTTAGGCTGGCTGACAGGACTATTATATTTGTTGAATGGGCAGCATGCAGTGACAACAAATGACATAGAGGTTCGATTCACAAGCAATTTACTTTGTTAGATTCTCTTACTCCCTACCTGGTGAATATGTCAATTATTCGTGCTACATTTTGAATTTTCAAAGTATGGAGATCATACACTTTGGGATTCTAACATTTTTATTTGCTTTCGAGATGTTTAGATTAACATT